CATGTAAATAGAATAGGATATGTACAAGAACAGAACATCCTGTAACAGTTCTGAGGATTTAGCAGCCAGGTATTTATTGCACAGTTATTAACGGCATATATATATATCGCACATAGTTGGTATTTAACAGCAAGGGGTGTGTGTGTGTGTGTGTGTGTGTGTGTGTGTGTGTATGTGTGTGTGTGTGTGTGTGTGTGTGTGTGTGTGTGTGGTTATATAAAAAGCACAATAACTAGGCCTCTATTTAAAGGTTGAATTTTCAATGTGTGTATCTTTGCAGCTGAATCACGACACCGACTCGTTTCTCGCTCTGACCACCGACGGCATCAACTTCCTGCTGAGCGACCAGGAGATCTGTGATGTCATCAACAAGTGCCACGACCCCACCGAGGCCGCAGAGGTCATCGCTCAGCAGGTGCTCGACAAAATACAGCAGAATGTTTTAACCTGATATTCTCACAAAACAAACACAACCAGTGATTCTAAGCTTTAAAAACACTGAATAAATCGGTTTAATGGTAAAAATGTGTGGTGGAAAACGAACGTCCTAAACTCTGTCGTTTTATTTTATGTAGTTTTTCAAAAAGCAGACGTGCCGAAGGGTCTTCCTTCTGGTACTAACTCACGCTCAGACACCATCACAGGAGACCAGAGGAGACGTACACATCCCTCTTTAATAGTTTTTTGTGTTTCTGCAGGCGTTGCAGTACGGCTCGGAGGATAACGCCTCCATCATCGTGGTCCCTCTCTCAGCGTGGGGGAAACACCAGAGTTCACCCACCGTCTATAGCATGAGCAGAAACTTCGCCTCCAGCGGACGATGGGCGTAACACAGGAAAAACATCACCATAGAAAATCACAGCCTATTTATAACCCTTATTTACCGAACTTAAGTATATTTTTGAGGTTCTTTTACTTTATTTCCATTATGTGCCACCCTCTTATTCTACTATACATCGCACAGCAAAATATATGTACTTTAAGAGAAGGGAAATTCAATAATATCATATCTTTAAGCGGAGCAGGAGCTTCGAGGGGCGTAACACAGGAAAACATCACATTTACAGCATATTTTTAACCCTTAAAATCATATATGGTATCACTTCCATCATTAACAGTGTATATAGAGTGCATATGAATATATTGTACATACAAAGAAAGGCAGGTTGTGAAATGTAACCTCGATTTCCCCAAGATTAAAGTGATGAATTACCGTATTTAGGTACATTTTTGTACCACCCTCTTATTCCACTATATGTGACAGGAAAATATATGTACTTTAAGAGAAGGGAAATTCAATAATATGATATTTTTAATGCATCAATGTATGTTTATATTTTGTCCAAAAGCTATATACTACTTTTCAAAATAAGTGCGTTGCATTCTTACTTCTTAACAACTTAAGGGGTTTGGAAAATAAATAAAACATGTTAAATGACACAAAACTTTCACTTTAGCATACTGAGATTTGTCTTTATGAAATGTACTAATAATATAAAATAAAAACTTTGAAATTCTGGGTTCCTTTTGTGTGAAAAGAGGACGTCCCCGCCCCTCCGGTTTGCACAGGAATAACACATCAAGCGCCCCCTCTGCGTCAGACACAACGTAATGAACGTAAGAAAACACTTCCGGGTGTCTTTGACGCTTCCTTTAAGTTGGTAGCTTTTTTTTAAAAAGCGGTTTAAGTTTGGTTTGTTTTGTTAAATAAATATGAAAAGATAACAGATAGAAGACGGAAGAAGAAACACGGGCCGTTAAAACAAGAAGGAAGTTTGTTTTTAACGCCCTGAAGGTAAAAAGAAACGTTAAAATGTCTGTTTTTATCCGTTTTAACCTAATTAAATACTGTTATTGTTACGTAAACAAGCTAAAAGTGATGTTTAAATCGGTTAAATCCACTTTGTTATGAGTGGAAACAGTTCATAAATCAGCAGAGTTTACCTGGTTAGAAGGGGACAAAATGTCTTCAGTAACTTTAGCTTAAAAAGATCAACACACTGAGTTTTACACAAACATGCTCGTTTTGTAGCTTAACCCAATCAAAGCTAATGCGTTATATGGTCATTTTAAATACTGTAGTTGTATTTAAATACTTAAAGCACAAGTTAGTACTTTCTGTGTGTATTTCTCTTCATTATACATAAATTCCACTTCATGTCAGGGAATACAATGCACTTTTTGTACTTATTATCTGTCATAATTAGCTACCAGTTACTTTTTTTATATAAGAAAACAATGTATAAAAAGTCTTGAATACAAACTGGTTGATTGTAAGGGGGCTAATCCACAATATACACATGCCAGAGGAACAGAAAACTTCATAAAGCAGTTTAAAGTAAGAATATTGGTGTGTTTATCACTTTATGGCTTTTTATCCCAAAAAATGCCACAGACCTGCCTGCCTGCCTACCTCTCTCCCTATCTATCTATCTATCTCTCTCTCTCTCTACCTACCTACCTACCTACATCTATCTATCTATCTATCCATCTCCCTACCTACCTACCTACCTACCTATCTACTCTTACCTACCTACCTACCTACCTACTGTACCTACCTCTCTCTCCCTCCCTATCTATCTATCTACCTACCTACCTACATCTATCTATCTATCCATCTCCCTACCTACCTCTCTCTATCTATCTATCTACCTACCTACCTACCTACCTACCTACCTACTGTACCTACCTACCTCTCTCTCCCTCCCTATCTATCTACCTACCTACTTACCTACATCTACCTATCTATCCATCTCCCTACCTACCTCTCTCTATCTATCTATCTACCTACCTACCTACCTACCTACCTACCTACCTACCTATCTAAAAAATAATCCTTTTTATATCTATTTAGTAGAACGGTTGATAATAAGCTAACTGTGACCCAGTTGCATTTGTATTCAAAACAAAACGCTGTTCATGCGGAAGTTAAATCGTATCTATCTTCCTGTTGGTACGCAGAAGTACAGATAACCACAGTTTAACATTCATTTAAATAGCTATACTAGTGTTGTCATGTACGGGGGGAAAAAACTTAATGCTGAAATCAAACCAAACTTTAATCTATAATTGTTATCAGGGCAAAGCTCACTTTATATATTGTTACTTATCAAAACACCTGAGATGATTTGTACTTTGCACTTACTGAAGATGAAGGTGCATTACTTTATTACTTCAGACGGTAAAGGTGTATCGGTCATCTTATCATTGAATGAACTAACTGAATAGGTTTAACCCTCACCCTGTTTCAAAGAGGCCCCATTATGCTTTCCTTTAGGTTTTGATGCATGTAAATGCTCTGCAAAGGCTCAAATCCCTGAGTTACCTTCCAGTTAATACACTTTAATGAAATGTATTATGTCTAAAAAGCCCCATAATTATATTAGGTTTGGTGAAAGCAATAGTAATAAGTTGAACATAATATTTTTAACTTAACTTTAATAGTATTGCTTTTAGCTAACCTGATACATGACACATTTAATTAAGGTCAACGTTTCAGTCTTTTCAGTGCAGACGGATATGTGTGCTTCTGCCCTTTCACCACCAGGGGGCGCTGCTTACCCACTCCGACATTATTCTGCATTGAGGAGAAATTTAGGAAACGGGCTAAATAGAAAAAGGAAAGTAAATACAAAAAAAGTAACAAATAAATATAAAAATAGATTAAATTCAACCTATATAATTGATTAAAAAAAAATTCTATAAATAAAATAAATTCATGCCATAAAAAATATCTTTCAATAATTTTAAATATTCCTCTCTCCTTTTTAAGAGACAAGAGAAATATACAAGATGAAATAAAGACAATTGTATAGCTAGTAAACTAAAAAAACAAAGTCAGTCCTTGATTGAGGTGAGATATGCAACTCGAACACTTTCAGCTTCAGCCTGTGTTGGATAAACTCTCCGCTTTAAAAGTCTGATTTCTGTCAGGATTTCTCAATGATACATTTATATATAAACTTTATTTATTGATGTTTCTTCGTCTGTTTGCAGGAGTGAGTAGAAGATGATGGAGGAGGTGGAGCAGAGAGGAGGAGCACAGGAGGGGGAAGAGGACGCTCATCCACCGGTAACAATGTGGCTAATTTATGCAGAAATACTCCCACAGTAATCATTTAAAGGGGACCTATCATGCAAAATGCACTTTTTGATGTCTGTTATACATAAACATGTGTCCCCGGTGTGTCAGGGAACTCATGCAGCGTCAGAAAATAAAACCCTCTCTCTTTTCCTCCGTACCCAAATCTCTAAAAACGGGGGAACAACGGAGCTGATCCAGATTTCCGTCCGATATGACGTAATATCTAGGGTTGGGAACCGAAACTCGGTTCCAGATGAGGACCGATAAGAAAATGCCGGGTACCCATACAAAATACAAAATGTCGGTTCTGCTTAACGGTTCCTAAACGCGGTAGACCCTGTATTCCACCGGGTCCGTCTGCGCCGCGGCGACCCGGTGGAATACAGCCAGGGTAAGGGAGGACTGGCCATCTCTGTGTTCTGGAGAATCACAGAACGGCCGGCCGTCAGCGGGCCGCTAACGGCCGGCTCGGTGCGCTGACGGCCGGCACCGCCCTTAATTTTTTTAAACGGCTAGGCGACAGAGGTCCGCAGTTGCCCCGCAGCGAGGCTCCCCCCGCCCTCCCGTAGACAGTTCACGAGCTCAGTCACTTCATAACACCAAAGATGGATCGCGGTAAACGCTCTGAAGTGAGGTTCCACAACACTAAAAAAGAAAAAGACATGGCACAGTGTAACGCCTGTTAATAGCTTGCCACAAGCATAGCTCAGTTAAAATAAAGCACAGCTATTGTGCAATACATTTCTACTGCATGTATATTTTTTATTTGTAAAAATGTAATTTAAAGCTTAAAAAATAAAGATATTTTTGTTATCTAAAGGTTTGACCTCTTTCTTTTACAATTTTGGAATCGAAACGGGGAATCGATAAGAACCGGAATCGGAATCGATACATTTCAAACGATACCCATCCCTAGTAATATCTGAAATGTGGACCCACGGCCCTATCAGAAACGTTGCTATCAGAAACAATGCCCGACTGTTTTTGGACGTAATATGGTCGGTGTTTACATTAGCATCGCTAACACTCAGAGCTAACCTGTACTGGAGAGCATGTGTGTGAAGAAGCAGGAAATAAAAAGGAACTCACCTTGTGGTATAACCGGCAAGAGAGAAAACCTTTGAGCTCCATACTGTTTCAGAGAGAATCCTTGATAATCCATGATATGGCGTTTCATCACGGCAGTATTTAGTTTAGACAGTAGCTGCCGGGTCCCGCATGAGCTCAGACCCCTCCTTTTTTATTAAAGCTTTATACCCAAATCAGCACTTTAGAAACAGGAAGTGAAATAGAGGGATATGAAGCAAAACACTTCATAGACATGTTTTTTTATATGTTTTTTATATATCTGAGACCTATGCTATTGCCTACAAATAGCATGCTAGGTGACCTTTAACTAATAATAATTAAAACATATTTTTATAATAAATTCATTTAAAGTAAATGTATTTTTTCTTGGTATTTCAAAAATAAAATTAAAGGCTTTCCCCACTTATATTTTTGTATGTTTTATATTAAATTATTTATATTTTAATACATTAAATAATTAAATAATAATACATTAATTTATGTTTTATTTTTGTATATGTAATATTAATTATGCCTGGTATTTCCAATATACACACTCTAGGGTTTGCTTCCATGATCTTTTAAATATTGTTGTTGATGTCAATGTTTCTTTTTGTTTTAACTTGGACTTGTTGGGAAAACAATTGACATTTTCTATAAAGCTAAAAAGAACAAACAAACCATTGC